TCTTCGTGCTGCCAGTCCTACTGTCACGCGTCTCCTGGCTACTGTTGTCACTGACCCTTCCTTTGAGTCCACTGCTGCGTCTACCTTAGTTGCTGAGCTTGTCGACTTCGCTGCTCACTGTCGTCTAGACTACGCTGCTAGTCTTGTTGCTGAGTCTGAGTCTGTCTGTCCTCCGTCCGTCGGGGGTGAGTGTGCTCTTAGCACAGATGTCCTTGAGGACAGGCAGGAGGAGTTCCAGTGTTTTGCTGCTGCTTTGCCTCATCTCGTGTCCATGCTGATTGCCCCTGAGGGAGACCCGGATGCACCAGACATCCCGACTCCTCGATCGTACGCCGAGGCGATCGAGGGTCCCTACTCCTCACTGTGGCAGTCAGCCATGGACGCAGAGATGGCTTCCTGGAAATCCACAGGCACCTACGTCGATGAGGTTCCCCCACCTGGGGCGAACATCGTCAGTGGCATGTGGATTTTCAGGGTGAAGCGGCCGCCGGGTTCTCCGCCTGTCTTCAAGGCGCGTTACGTGGCTCGAGGCTTCAGTCAGCGGCAGGGAGTTGACTACTTTCAGACCTTCTCTCCCACCCCGAAGATGACCACTCTTCGGGTGCTGCTGCACATAGCCGCTCAGCGCGACTACGAGCTTCACTCTCTTGACTTCAGCACAGCTTTCTTGCAGGGCAGCCTGCACGAGGAGATCTGGCTGCGCCGCCCACCTGGCTTCACTGGGTCGTTTCCTCCTGGTACCCAGTGGAGCCTCCGGCGGCCAGTCTACGGTCTCCGCCAGGCGCCCCGTGAGTGGCACCACACACTGAGGACTACACTTGCGGCTCTTGGGTTTGCTCCTTCTACTGCCGACCCGTCGCTGTTTCTGCGCACCGACACCTCTTTGCTGCCGTTCTACATCCTCGTGTACGTCGACGACTTGGTCTTTGCCACAGCTGACACTGCTGGACTCGCCCACGTGAAGTCCGAGCTGCAGAAGAGACACACGTGCACAGACCTGGGTGAACTGCGCAGCTACCTTGGCTTGCAGATCACCCGGGACAGAGCACAGCGCACCATTACCCTGACTCAGTCACACATGGTGCAGCAGGTCCTTCAGCGGTTCGACTTCACGTACTCCTCGCCTCAGGCCACTCCTCTGTCTACTCGCCACTCGCTCTCAGCTCTGCCTTCGGATGAGTCCGTAGAGCCGAGTGGCCCGTACCCAGAGCTTGTTGGCTGCCTCATGTACCTGATGACCTGCACTCGACCTGACCTTGCATACCCTCTTAGCATCTTGGCACGCTATGTTGCTCCTGGGAGACACCGACCAGAGCACATGGCTGCAGCGAAGAGGGTGTTGCGCTACTTGTGCAGTACGTCGGGCATGGGGCTAGTGCTTGGAGGGCGACGTTCAGTGGTCCTCACAGGTCACGCAGACGCTTCTTGGGCTGACGACCAGGCTACGCAGCGGTCGTCACAAGGTTACACCTTCAGCCTTGGTTCCGGCTCTGTTTCGTGGCGGTCTACCTGCTCGTCTTCTGTTCTCGGCTCCAGCTGTGAGGCCGAGATCTACGCAGGAGCCATGGCTGCACAGGAGTTACGCTTGCTCACCTACCTGCTGATCGACCTGGGAGAGCCGCCTCGTTCTCCTCCAGTTCTGTACGTAGACAACAAGGCCATGCTGGCCTTGTGTCGGGAGCACAGACTGGAGCACAGAACGAAGCACATTGCTCTTCGCTACTTCCTTGCTCGTGAGCTGCAGCAGCGTGGTCAGCTGCGCCTTGCTTACGTGGCCTCTGAGGCCAACACTGCTGATATCTTTACCAAGGCACTTCCGCCTTGTGATCATCAGCGCTGCTGTACGATGCTAGGTCTTGTGCCTACTTGGCCTCACTTGCTCACTTCTTGACCTTGCTTGTATTGTGAGCTTTCTATACCTGCACTTGCTTGTTTACCTTTATATATGATCTTGCATGTGAACTGGCTTTGTGGCCTTGAACTTGTGCTTGGAATGTGTGGTGACGTTGTGATCCATGTTAGAATTTATATGTAACTGCCTGTAGCTGTAGTTTAGTGTAGTTATTATAAACTGTTGGTGGTGCACCTTCTTTGCATGCTCTGTTTACTATATGTACCCTAGTGCTATAGTGAACATCACTTTTCCCATTCTCGACTCTCACCTTGGCACAACCTCCTCGACTTCCCCTAGGCCTAGGCTACTAAGCCTAGGCCCTACCTAAAACCTAAGCTTACTCTTTCTTAGTAACTCAACATGGCATTAGAGCGAGTTACGTCCTGGCCTGTGGGCCCGCCTCACGCTTCCGCTGCTGTTTTTCCGGTCGCGCGCCTCGGGCGCGTGGCGATTTTCGTCCTGTCCCGCCCCCGGGTGGCGAGTGACATCTTTTCTGCCCGTCGCGCGCCCCGTGGCACGCGACGGTGCCCTGCCCGTCGTGCGCCCCGTGGCACGCGACGGTGCCCTGCCCGTCGTGCGCCCCGTGGCACACGACGGTGCCCTAAACCTGCCCGTCGTGCGCCCCGTGGCACGCGACGGTGCCCTGCCCGTCATGCGCCCCGTGGCACGCGACGGTGCCCTGCCCGTCGTGCGCCCCGTGGCATGCGACGGTGCCCTAAACTGCCCGTCACGTGCCCCGTGGTGCGCGACGGTGCCCTGAGCCGCCGCGGAACCGCCCCTGGCGCCTGCGACGGTGTCCTGAGCCGCCGCGTACCCGCCCCTGGCGCACTCGGCGGTGCCCCTGCCTCACCCGCGCCTGCACTCGCTGCAGCCGCCCCTGCACCACCCGGCGCCTGCCCTTGGAGCAGCCGCCCCCGCTCCTGCACTCGGTGCAGCCGCCTCTGCCTCACCCCACGCCTGCACTCACTGCAGCCGCCCCTGACCTACCCGCGCCGACCCTCTGTAGCCGCTCTGCGGCTTTCTCCCCGCCCACCCCCTCCTCCTTCGTCTCCCTGCAGCCGTGGGGGGGAGGGTATGGGGGTGGCGGGTGTTGGGGTGATGGGTGGTGTGCTTCCCTTCCCCTCCTCCTCCTTTCGTTCCCACTGCTGCAGCTACCGCTGGGGGGGAGGGTGTGAGGGTGTGGGGGAGCCGGGGGAGTGGCACTGGGGTGGCGGGTGTGAGACCAACCAGCAGCCGTCCCTCCACCTCTCCTCTCTTCCCCCCTCTGCTGCTCCTGCAGCAGTGTGGGGGGGAGGGGGAGGGGGAGGGTGAGGAAATGGAGGGGGTGACCAGCCAGAGCCAGCCCGCCTCCTCACTCTCCCTGCTGCCCCTCCTGTGGTTGGGGGGGGAAGAGAGTAAGGGGGTGGCAGGAATTTCTTGCTGTCGCCTGTCCCTTTGCTGCTGTACCTGCTCTGTTACCGTACCTGCTGTTGCTGTTGCTGGTATACCCCTGCAGGTTGTGTTCTGCACAAACTCCTGCTGCAGGCAGTTATGGGGGAGTGTTAGAATTTATATGTAACTGCCTGTAGCTGTAGTTTAGTGTAGTTATTATAAACTGTTGGTGGTGCACCTTCTTTGCATGCTCTGTTTACTATATGTACCCTAGTGCTATAGTGAACATCACTTTTCCCATTCTCGACTCTCACCTTGGCACAACCTCCTCGACTTCCCCTAGGCCTAGGCTACTAAGCCTAGGCCCTACCTAAAACCTAAGCTTACTCTTACTTAGTAACTCAACAATCCACCCTGGGCTTGCTTTGCTTTGCTTGACTGGTCTTGTGACCTCTTGTTCTCCCCCACTTTGTCTATGGGGGTGTGTCAAACTTATATGCTATAGTCTGTGTAGGCTGTAGTGGGGTAGACAATATGGGGTACAACACGTTTAGGTTTTCCTACTTGTACCCACCTGTTTCCTAGTGCATTCATTCTCGTTCTTTAACATTAGATTGGTTTTGGGCCACCCTTTGAAATCAGAGTTCTGGTATAGTCAACCCTGACGTGTAGGGTGATTTTTTTTTTTTCGCTGACAAAGTCAGCGTAAAAATTTCACTAGATTGAATCAGTCAGAGTAAAGTTGGCCCTACACTGAATGTCGTTGTCACCTTGGCTGCCAATTCCACCAACGCGCCCTGCACACTCTGGGGAAAAATTCAGTCACTTTGTTTTACAAATGGTACAAATTTTTGCACTTTCTGGCCTAGGGAAAAAATCCCAGTACGCTTGCTGGGAAATGGTAAATGGAAAAAAGCGGCTGCCAATCAGTGCAAAAAGGGTATTTTACCCTGATATCGAGAGCCCTGGTCTGCATGTGTTAATTATCTCGATCATTTTACTTTCACTCTTTATTAAGGTCAAGGGCCCACCACTGCACAACTCTGTGCGAACCTTCCTGATACGATCCTAGGTTACGATCAACTTCTGATCGCAGCATACCCCACTGCTGTAACCATTTCTGTCGAAATTCGATAATTTTCCTACTGATAGAGTCCGTACCCAACAACTAGAAAATTTCCACTGCTACACTCTCTGCGATCAACCTGAGCCAATCTTATGTAAATGTTTATTTAGCTTGTAAGACATTGCATTAAAGCCGTGGCCAAATATTTTATTCCATGCTATTGAAAATGTTCAAGAATACCAAGCAATTTTCAAATTTGTAGAAGTACTTCGTTTATGGCATTTTGAGGCAATTTATTTCGACTTAGTGCCTGCCTTTTTCGAATCCCACACTCCTGGGAACCTACAGCCCGATGATTGGTGCGGAAACAGCATTTCCAAGGGCCTTCCAAGCGGAAGGCTCACCACCGTGCCTCGTTATCAGTGCAGTAGTTTGTGGTTGACCAATCCCCAAACACAGTCGCTTGCCATACGCGAGCGATTGGTTTGGCCCCAGGTTTGGGTTGCGACTGGCTTCTTGCTGGGAGAAGTGCAACCCCTGCTGTTTGCGATGCCAACGGCCCCCGCTCTTCTCTATCTCTTGATGATGCTGTTCGCACGAGTTGAAGACCAGCTATTCGTAAGCTCCAACTAGACAGTACTTCAGTAATGAGGTAATACGATTCGTACCATGTCTTCCTTCTTCCCCGCCTTCTGGGCCCCTTCACCTCCTCCGTCGCCGATCGCGAAGGTACTATCCGACGATTACCTTCTCTCGCTCGTGCTGCGCTCGCTAACGCGCGACTCATTCCATTACGCGCTGGTCTCCAAGCGATGGTACGCCATAGCGCGCCACTCGCTCGCGCACCTCGCAATCAAATCCAGGATCCAATTCTCTGATCTCCCAGACACGATTCGCAGATTTTCCTCGCTCACGCACATCGAGCTTAAAGAGTATCGCCTTATGGATGCGAGAGGCGATGCTCTCTTTCAATGTCTGGGCGCCACGTGTCCGCAATTGACGCATCTGACCGTAGGCTTCCAGCTTCTCATCATGCACGTCACTTGCAACGGCCTCTCGTCTCTCTTCCATGGCTGTCGCAAGCTCCGCGACCTCCGCCTGCTCACCCTCAACCTGCTCCCGCACCTCCCGCCCGCCGTCTCTCTCCTCTCCGACCTCACAACCCTCCATCTCTGCCGCGCCGTCGATAAAGACGAGGATCGATTCGAGCAACTCGTCCTGCCGCCTGAAAGCATCGGCGCGCTGCAGCAGCTGCAGGAACTCCGCGTTGAAACGGGATCGGCGTTCCAAGGTCTCCCGGATTCCATCAGCAGCCTCACGAATCTCCGACGCTTGAAGCTCATCCATCCCTCTCTCGTTCACCTCAATCCTTCGATTGGTTACTTACCGCAATTGCAAGACCTAGATATCGACATGGAAATGTTGGAGTCGATTCCGGATTCCTTTCAGCATCTCACCAGCCTTCTTTCCTTCTCGCTGCTGTCCTTTGGATTGAAGCGCCTTCCAGAGCATGTGATGGGGGCCATGACGCGATTGGAGAAGCTTTTGCTCCGCTGGCTGTCCCTCCACAACCTGCCCGACACCATCTGCTTCCTCCCCCTCTCCTCCCTCTACATCCGTAGATGCAATCTACTCACCTCCCTTCCTGATAACCTTGGAGCTCTGATACAGCTTCAAACTCTAACGCTCTTCAGTCTGCCCGAACTCTGCTGTCTGCCCGAGAGCGTGGGAGATCTAAAGCAATTGAGATCGTTGGAACTCAATCATGTGGGTCTGCTGCAGCTGCCAGAAACCATCGGCTCCCTCCCCATCTCCTACCTCTCCATCCACTCATGCGCTGCACTCACCTCCCTTCCTAATAACCTTGGAACCCTGGTACAGTTGGAAACCCTAAAGCTTCACTGGCTGCCCAACCTCTGTGCTCTGCCCGAGAGTGTGGGCACTTTACAGCGGCTGAAAACGTTGAGAATCGAGCAGGTGGGACTGCTGGAGCTGCCCGAAAGCCTGTGCACGGGGAGCGTGAGGCACAGCCTGATGCGGCTTCACCTGTGCGGCTGCAGGGAACTGAGACGGCTGCCCCCCCAGCTGGCCATGCTGACGCGCCTGGAGGAGCTCGATATGGCCGCCTGCACTCGCCTCCAGTCCCTAGAGCCTCTCTTTGCTCCGCATCCCGCATTAGCCCTCACCTGCTCCCTTGCTTCTGGTCTCTCCATTGATCCTGCCGCTTCTCCTGACCTTGTGCATAGTCCTCCTCTTGACCCTGCTCCTGCTTCTGCCACTGTAGCTCCTACAGCCACTGTTGCTGGCCCCACCACTGCTTGCACTCATACCGAAAAGTCCACCGAGCCACAGCCACAGCCACAGCCACAGCCACAGCCACAGCCACAGCCACAGCCACAGCCACAGCCACAGCCACAGCCACAGCCACAGCAGCGCAGCGCACAGCAGCCGTGGGGCCTGGCGTCTCTCACCAGCCTAACACTGAGTGGTTCTTCACAGATCGCCTCTCTCCCTGATTCTTTCTCCACGCTCTCTGCCCTCTCTTCCCTCACCATCACCCTCATGCACGGCCTCTCCAACCTGCCACAATCCCTCGGACGACTGCAAAACCTCAGATTCCTGAAGCTCGAATACATGGATAAGTTATCTGTGCTGCCCAAGTCACTCGGGCAGCTGAAAAACCTTGAAACGCTGGAGCTGTGCTATTTGCCAGAGCTGAACTCTCTGCCCGGGTCAATCCGTTGGCTGCCCAAGCTGAAAGAGCCCTTGCTGGTCGCCGTGGGGAGGGTGACTGAGTGGTGGTGGATTGACGACATCCCATATGTTAGGTCCGCCAGAATGCGCCTCATGCTTCACTGAACTCAAGGCTCCAATGCAGGTGCTGTCCTGCTACTTGCACGCTCAATCATCGCTTCATGGTCCAGAGTGGTGCTGGATTGATTGTCGAAACATGCCTGCTAATTGTAGTTATGGTTCTAGTGTTGCATATATACGAAGTTACATCTCTGCAAAATTGCTTGCATCCTGGGCTGTAGAGCATGCACCATAACATTACAGGAGCTGCTAAACTATACGGGCAGAAACAGCGCAGGCACCTCCAGTCCCCCATCAACTCACTTTATACAAACAAGTCGTCCTCGTACCCCTCACCCAAGCAGCATTCCACTAGATTCCATGCCGCGCCACCCAAATCAACGAAACCCTGCAATTCTACATCCCCAACAGATGCCTGCAATTCTGCAGCGGCGTCAATAAATGTCATGCGGCACGACCATCTCGGACACGGCATGGATGGTGAACTGCGACCCGTTGAACAGATTCGGCATCACAATCGGCACGGGCACGCCGCCCTTGCCCTTGACGGCCACGAGCAGCCCGCCCTTGCGCCCGCGCTTCACCAGGCTCGTGCCCTCCAGTGTTCTCAGCCGCCGCCCGCGCGGCTGGTAGCGCAGGCGGCGGTAGTCGTAGCGGCCTTGCAGGATGTGGTAGGCGATGAGCTGCTGCTGCTTCTGCGAGGAGAAGGCCGCCATGAAGAAGCGGATGGTGCGCGCGTGCAGCGGCAGCAGGATGGTCACCCCGTTCAGTGGGATGAGTGATGTCACTAAGAGATAGCAAGGGGGAGGCGAGGGGAGAAAAAGGGAACAGAAAGGGAAGGGAAGGGGGAGTGGAGGGAGGTGAGGGTGAGGAGAAGGGAAACAGAGGGGGAAGGGCGGGGGAGGATAAGTTGTTGTGATAGTGAAGGGGGGCGGAGCCCGTGCCTTGCCAGCAGGGATGGCTGACGCCACTGCGAAAACCGGGGCGGTGGGGGAGATAAGGGGGGCACAGTGGAGAGAGGGAGAGAGGGGAAGAGGGGGAGAGGGAAGGATGAGTCGAGGGAGGAGAGAAGCGTGGAGAGGAGGGGAATGGAGGGGAGAGGTGGGAAGTGAAGGGGAGACGAGGGGAGTGGAAGGGAGAGGAGGGAAGTTGAGGGGAGAGGAGGGGAATGGAGGAAAGAGGAGAATGGAAGAAAAGAGGAGAACCCAAGGGAGTGCTTGAACGGGTCGTATGCAGAGGCGCTCGCGCTTGTAGTCGCTGCGACAGTGAAGACGGAAGCACGTCTTGCAGTGACAGCAGAATGATCAACCCGTTCAGCAGGATGACAGACGTCTCTGCGCGGGAGGAAGAGCGGGAAGAGGGATGGAGGGAGACGGAGGGGAACGAAGTGGAGGGGAGAGGAGGGAAGAGGAGTGTAGGTAGAGGAGGAGAGAGGAGTGTGGGGCAAGGAGGGGAGAGGAAGGGGGAGGGAAGGGGAGGGGAATGAGGGGGAAGGAGGGAGGGGAGAGAAATTGACTCAACGGCGAGAGCAAAGCTCGAATGCACGGACGCTCGTTGTTGCCGCGACAGTGAAGACGAGCGCGGGCCGTGATGAAACAAGAGAGCGCTTTGGCGTCTTCATGGTTGGCTGAACGGCTGGAGAAGTACTCAAAAAGCTTCCGCTGCAGGGAAGGACTCTGAGAAAAAAATTGATTGCACGGCGTGCCGCACAGGGTACCGCACGGCGTCAATGCTGCCGCTGCGCCGGGCGCAACGAGCGGCGCGTTCATGCTGCTGGAACCGCCCAGCGATAACCAACCCTAATTGTAGGTCGCACACGAAAATTCTCAAAGATGGGCGCCGCGTTCCCGCCTGTGAACTCTCCCGCCCAGCGATGCCCAACCCTAATTGCGAATCTAAGGAAGGAACCCCGCTTCCCCCACCCCTTCTCCCCGCAAGCAGCCGTACGTATGAGGTCGATGACGTCGTTGATTGGTCCGAATATGCGCATCTTCTTGAGCTGCTTCTTGGCCTGCTGAATCTCCCTCGCCATCTTCGTCGATATGCCCGGCTGCTGCGCGTGCGACGAGGGCAGCAGGGAGAGGAGGAGCGAGACGAGGACGAGCGCCACTAGCAAGTGGTATGGAGCGAATAATCGAAAGACGACGCGACGAGCCATCGTAGCTTGGCTAGTGGACGAAGTAACGGGTGACGGTCAGAAACGGATGTTTAAACTTCTCGCAGGACATCGCGCTCGCCTCGCAGGCCGACGCGTCGTTCCTCGTCGACGACTGCTCCGCGGTCGTCGCCACCGACACCATGAAGAACACGGTGCGGTGCTGAGGCGCGCAGTGCGGTGATGGTGAGGGCGAGGATGCGCTCTGTGCGATGATGCGCGATGCGCGCGGTGTGCTGATGCGCGCGGTGCGGTGTTGCGCGCGGTGAGTGGAAGAACGGTGCGATGATGCTCAGTGCGGCGATGAGGCGTGCAGTGCAGGCGCGGAGTGCGGTGATGCGCGCGGTGAGGGGAGGAAAGCGGTGAGGGGGGAATAGAAAACTGAAGTCACGTTTTGACAAACTTGTTCTCCGCATCGCCATTCATCATACCATGACGAACGGTAGGAGCGGAGAATGAGGCGCACCTCCTGACGCACCTGACGCACCTGACGCACCTGACGCACCTGACGCACCTGACGCACCTGTCGCACCTGACGCACCTGACGCACCTGACGCACCTGTCGCACCTGACGCACCTGACGCACCTGTCGCACCTGACGCACCTGTCGCACCTGTCGCACCAGTCGCACCTGTCGCACCTGTCGCACCTCCTCACGGGGAGTGGGGACGCAGAGGAGGTGGGCTCCTCTTACTTGAGGCGCCCTTGCTTCTGCGTGCTGTCGTGCCACACATAATGACATGACATGCACCAGTCCATCCGACTGAAGTGCTGCATGCAGGATGGCTGCATCCTGCCAGCCACTGCATGCATGCTAGTAGCATGTTGCCATCATGCTACCACTGCAAGCAAGTTCTATCTGCTGACTTTCTTCACGGCTGCTTCTTCTTTTCTGCTTGTTCCTGCTTCCATGTGTGCAGGTGTACGTGCTGGCGAAGCAGTGCACCAGCGAGTTACCACCAGAGCTGTTCGCCATCAAGCTGGGCCGCCACTTCGTGTCCTTCTATGACGTGGTCAGTTCGGCCCCTCACTGACATACGTACGCACCCAGTCAGTCGCCCCCTCGGTTCAGTTCAGCACACATGCACCCGTGGACTCATCGCTCGCTTCCCCCCATCGCTTTTCCTCATCGCTTCCCCTCATTGCTTCCCCCATCGCTTGCCATACATGCCATGCCACCATGCACCCCACCACATGCCACCATGCACCCACCACATGCCACCATGCAACCCCCACCCCCACCCCCTTCACCCCCACCCCCCCACCAGGTGACAGCAGCGTCCATCCGCATTGTGGAGCAGCCGTGGCAGCGCGTGCACGTGGGCGGACAGCCACACGACCACGGTAGGCTGCAGTGGGGTGCTGTGCGTGCGTGCGGTATGGTGGTGGTGAGGGGTGGGGTGGGGTGGGGTTTGGGTTATTGGTGTGTGTGTGGTGTGGTGTGGTGCACGGTGGGGTGGGTATTGGGGAGCTATGCGGGGTGGCCGCATATCCATGGTAAGGGGTATGTGTATCCATGGTAAGGGGCATGTGTGTTAAGGGGGGGTTCGAAGAATTTCACATTGGTTTTGCTCGTTATTTTTACATGATTGCGCTCGTCAATATCGACTGTACGCCAATTTGTACTCTGATCATTTCATGCCAACTGACCCCGTGTACATCCCAGATAGCTGACAAGGTACGATACTGAGACCAACTGCAGTACCACACACTGGGTAACCAAGTCACGCACAGGGTTGGCCTGACATTCTCTCGCATGCAGCCAAATCGAATTTCATGCATCCATGGCGGTGGTCAAAATGAGTGACGAAAAGTCACTGGCGACTGGTTAGGGTTACTGTTCTTCGTGATTGATGCAGGATGCGGATGTGTTCCGCACATCTCGAGGCCCGTTTTTGAAATGCGATTTAAGTTAACTGCTTCCTGTCAAGTGCCTTTGATAACGTCAAAAGTTCTGTTACATTACTAAAAGTGGTAACCGAGCTGATTTTTTTTGCGAACGTGAAATTTTTCGGACCCCCCCTAAATGCTAGATTAGAAAGGTGTAATTTGGTGTGTGGCTCTGGGAGAATGGACGTGCAGTCAGACAGCACCATGCTGCGCTGCTGTGCCCTGCTCCATGGGCTACTGCTTAGCTCTCTCATGCAATGCACTCGTCCATACCATGGCATGGCACGGCATGGCATGGCATGGCATGGCACGGCATGGCATGGCATGGCATGGCATGGCATGGCATGGCATGGCATGGTATTGCATGGCACGGCATGGCAGGGTTCACGCTGGGCAGGGAGAGGCGCGTGGCGGAGGTGGAGGTGGATGCAGCGGGGCAGCACAGAGTGAAGGCTGGTGTTGAGGAATACTCGGTGCTCAAGACGACTCAGGTAAGGAGCAGCGGGGAGGGCAGTAATGATACACTGCGGCAGGGAGATGCGCGAGGCTTCAGCAGCGGAGGTGGATGCAATGGGGCAGCGCTGAGTGAGGGCTGGCGTGGAGGAATTCTCGGTGCTCAAAAGCACTCAGGTGAGGCGCAGAGTGTGGGGGTTGAGAGAGCAGTGTGGGCAATGTAGGGGATGATACAGTGCAGTGGTCATGGTTGGTGGCGGGCACTGATGTTAAAGGGCAGTGAGGAGAGTGTGAGGGTTGAGATCAGTAGGGGGGAATGAGAGGGTTGTCGTGCTAACACGGTCGTGGATGGTGAAGGGAGCGGGGCAGCACAGTGTGAGGGTGGGCGTGGAGGAGTGGCCTGTGTGTGCTTGAGGACGAGACCACGGAGGAGAGGCAGAGGGGAGAGGGCTGTGAGGGGAGTGGGAGGGTTGAGGCAATCACCTGATTATGGATGGTGAGGGCAACGTCATTGCATTGTTTGCGTAGAATTCGAGACAGCGAATCCGATGCCAATACTCTTCACACCACACCACTCATTGTTTCTCTCCCTCTCTGCTTCCTTCACTGCGTCGATCCGTCTTTGAGGGCGTCGTCACCTCCCCATCGCCCTCCCCTTCACCTCCCTCCCGTTCTCCCTTCCCGGCACCCCTCCCTCTTCCACTTCACACTCTGCTTCACCCACCCTCTCACCTTCCGCCCTCTCACCTTCCACCCTCTCACCTTCCGCCCTCTCACCTTCCACCCTCTCACCTTCCACCCTCTCACCTTCCACCGTCACATTTCTCCCCCAATCCGGCACCAGCAAGCCCATTCTCACTGGTTTGGGTGCCACCCCTTCATCCCTGTTTCCCTTTCTCCCTTCTCTTCTTTCTCTCTGCTCTCCTTCCTCTCTGCTCCCCTTCCTCCGTGCTCCCGTTTCTCTCTGCGCTCCTTTTTCCCTGCTCCCCTTTCTCTTCTCCCCTCCTCTCTCTCTGCTCCCCATTCTCCCTGCCCCCCTTTCTCTCTGCACTCCTCTTTCCCTGTTCCCCTTTCTCTCTGCCCTCCTCTCTCCCTGTTCCCCTTTTTCTCTGCCCTCCTCTCTCCCTGTTCCCCATTTCTCTGCCCTCCTCTCTCCCTGCTCCATTTCTTCTTGCCCTCCTCTCTCCCATTTTCTCTCTGCTCCTCTTGTTTTCTCTACTTCTCTTTCCCTTTGCTCCCCTGCATCCTCCTCTCACTCTGGCTTTGAGGGTCTCATGGGCATCCAGAGCACGCCGCTGCCACACACAAGTAGCCACAGCCTTATCGATTTCAGTGCTGTCCTTTCCCCACTGATCTCTGCGCTCTGCTCTTTTCTCTCTGCTTGACTCCCCCCCTCAAATCCCCCAGTCCGGCTTTGAGGGCTTCATACGCGACCAGAACACGCTGCTGCCAGAGACAAGGGAGCGCATCCTTGCCACCACAGTGCAGGCCACGTGGAGGTGAGCAGTGAGTGCCACGTGGAGGTGAGCAATGAGTCCTACGTGGAGGTGAGAATATCCCTTCTTCACACCTCGCACTGTCTGTGCCACCCTGTATCTCTGACAACCCCTTTTTTCCTTCACCCCTCACATGCTTCTTGCTGTGTGTCATATGTATGTGTGCCACACGATGAAGCTGCTCCCTCCCCTGCGTGTATGTTCACCCACCACCTCCTGGTTCCCATCTCTTCAGTACCCGCATTCATGTCCCACACAACATCTTCTGTCCTGAACTGTTCCGTCCCTCGTCCAACACCCCCTCTAGCTACGCTCGCAATCCCTCCAATACAATGCTTCGTTCCCAGTGGTCGTGGTGGCCTTCACCGCTCTCAGCACACATCCAGCCATCACCTTCACGCCTTTCAAGTCCCAACAGCTAATTAACCCCCTTCCACCCTCTCGAATGTTCCCATCCCCCACCCCCAGCTACTCGCGTGAGCCTCTGTGCGTCACTGCAGCCTACTCGGCGGCCAAGGCAGCCTTCACAGACTGCTCTCTGACCTGCTCTCTCCTCAACCAGCCCTTCTGGTATTCCCACAACTGTTCCCGCCCCTCCAGCTACTCGTGCGACCCCCTGTGCTTCAATGCAGCCTACTCAGCGGCCAAGGCAGCCCTGACAGACACTTTCTTCGGCCCGCCCCAAGGGGGTGTGTACAGCCCCTCGGTGCAGCGCACGCTTTACCTCATGGGCGAGGAGGTGCTGTCAAGGTGAGATAGCTGTGATAAAGGGTGCTGGTACGCTCTACTCTCTAACGGTCCTCCTCTCTCTCCCGAGCTGAGGCAATGTGTGTATGGCACCCTCTGCTTCAATGCAGCCTTCTCAGCAGCCAAGGCAGCCCACACAGAAACCCTCTTTAGGCCACCTCAAGGAGGTGTCTACAGCCTCTCAGTGCAGTTCACGCTCTTCCCCATGGGTGAGCAGGTGCTGTCAAGGTGGGACCGGATGAGGAAGAGGGGCGTATGTGACACCTCATTTGGGCACGTCTCTCTAAGCTCACCTTATTTGTACTTATTTCTCTGTATCACGTTTTGCATGTACCTCCCTCACTGCATGCAACCCAGAGTGCCTCCTTTTCCATAATGCCTCTTTTCACCTCTCTCGCCGCCCACACCCCATCAGACTGCCCGAGGCGGACAGCATGCCTTCACCTCTACAGTGCATCCCTGTCTATATCAAATCCCCTTGTTGTTTGTGTTGATATGTTATCTACGCCGGATTTTGTTCCACATGCACCTCCCTCACCACCCACCCAACACACCCATCAGAGTGCCAGAGGCGGACAGTGTGCATCTGAAGCTGCCCAATCTGCACTTCATCCCCGTCAACCTGCCAGGCATCGGCCTCAAGGTGCGTTGCTGCTGTCCTGCTCCCACCACGAGCCATGACAGCCAAAGTGCGGACCACAGGCCAGGCCCCAAGTGCTGGTAGCACTGCATGGTGGTTCCCATCCCATGCCATGCGCTCACTTGGCTCTTCCCTTCCTCCCTCCCAGTCCGCCATCTACTTGTGAATGCGAGCCAGTGCTCTCCCATGGACTCACTCACTCTCGCCTCACTGCCTTTTCACTCCCCTCTCACTCTTTTGTCACTCGCCTCTCACTCCCTTCTTCCTCCTCTCCCATTGCCCTCTCACTCTCCTCTCACTACCTTCTCAATCCTCCCTGTTTCCCACCCTGTGCATGCTTTCCCCCTCTTATCAGCATGAGGACGCCATGTACTCACCCACCAGCGACCCTCCTGATAGCATCGACACGTGTGTGGGACCCCTGCACACTCGCCCCCCACTTGCTTCACCTACTCCTCCCTGCACCCCCTCACCCTGCCCCCTATCCCATCAGTTTGAGGACGATGTGTATCTGCCCACCAGCGAGCCCCATGGCAGCATTGAGGCGTGTGTCTCCCGCAAGACAGCAGCACTTACAGCAAGGCTTTAAGGCACAAGCGCCTGCAGCAAAGCGTTGAGGCAGCTGCGCCTGTAGCAAGGCTTTATGGCAGCATTGCGCACACATGGAGTCGAGACGCACATGACCCACACGCATCTCCGACGAGATACAAGCTGAGATACAACGACGAGATACAAGCTGCACGCATCTCCGTATCCCCCTCTCCCACACGCATCTCCTGGCCAAGAGCCCATAGCGCATGGGTTGTTGCAATGCAGTGTATACAGCATGCATTTATGGGCATCTGCTGCTGTATAGAGCGATCATGTACGGTTGTAGCATGATGTGGCACGTGCCAGTTTCTTTTACATATACCCCGCACATGTACCATAGATTATTAAGTACATATGCAACACTATGGTCAGTTGTTTGGATACAATCAGCACAGCAGGCATGTTTGGACAGTTGTTAAACGGTGCTCAATTGATCCTCCACCACTCTGGTCACTCTAGACGGACCATGAAGCGATGATGATCGACCATCATCCTCTCATCACAATGCCTCCTAAGGAAAAGATCAAGGCTCTGCCAGAGGCCTCGTCACTGGAAGCTCCTCCTCCATCACCTACTCCAGCCTCGATTGATCCTGCAAGCAAGGGCAAAGGCAAAGTTCCAGAGGAATCAAGCACCGCTCCTCCGGCTGAGCCGACTGCTAGCGGCTCCGGTCTTTTACTGCAAGAGGAGCTGCGTTCCCTCCGTACAACCGTACCTGATAGCGGCTTCCTCGAAGATGACTCTGACGAGGAACTTGAAGTCGAAGTCAGGACGGAAGCCTTCTACCGTGCCTGCTACACTGCGATCCTGCTGCTTCCTGTGGCTCTCGCTTTGGAGGTGGCGTCTGTCATCACTACAGTGCGTACCTTGATGAGGCGTGTCTGGTCGTCCACGCTTTCTGCTGATGCTGTCGAGACGGCGAAGTTTCAAGAACTCCTACCGGCTTACGTGGCGAAAACTCGATACTGCCACCTGCAAGTCTCCCTCCTGCGCGAAGAAGCCATCATGAGCATCCGATCCAAAGAGGTTGACTACATGGGGCTAACGGCACGGTATTCCGGCTCTACTGGCAGCACATCGACGACCCTGCTTTCGTGGTGAGGAACAGAGGTGGTTGCCTCCGCCACCCCAATCGAACAGCGTTTCGAACCCCTCTCTGCTCCCCACCCTCCTCCCCACAGCTCTCTACCCAGCATCTGCCCCCGTTCCCCCCATCCTCTTCCCTGTTTTCCCCGTATCCCCTGCCGTGCTTCCACCCATCCTATCCCCTCTTGCCCCGTATCCCCTGTGCTGCTTCCCGCCATCCCCTTCCCTGCTTCCCCCCATCCCCCCCCCTGCTTCCCCCCATCCCCTTCCCTGCTTCCCCCCATCCCCTTCCCTGCTTCTCCTCATCCCTTGCCCTTATTTCCCCCATCCCCTTCCCTGCTCCCCCCCATCTCCTTCCCTGCTTCCTCCCATCCCCTTCCCTGCTTCCCCCCATCCCCTGCCCTGCTTCCCGCCATCCCCTTCCCTGCTTCCCCCCATCCCCTTCCCTGCTTTCCCCCATCCCCTTCACTGCTTACCCCCATCCCCTGCCCTGCTTCCCCCCATCCCCTTCACTGCTTCCCCCCATCCCCTTCCCTGATTCTCCCTTCCCAGTGCCCTGATTTCCCTCATCCCCTTCCCTGCTTCCCCCCATCTGCTGCCCTGCTTTCCCCCATCCCCTTCCCTGCTTCCCCCCATCCTCCTCCCTGCTTCCCCCCATCCCTCCGCCTGCTTCCCCCCATCCCCTTCCCTGCTTACCCTCATTCCCTTCCCTGCTTCCCCCCATCCCCTGCCCTGCTTCCCCCCATCCCCTTCCCTGCTTCCCCTCATCCTCCTCCCTGCTCCCCCCCATCCCTCCGCCTGCTTCCCCCCATCCCCTTCCCTGCTTACCCTCATTCCCTTCCCTGCTTCCCCCCATCCCCTGCCCTGCTTCCCCCCATCCCCTTCCCTGCTTTCCCCCATCCCTTGCCCTGCTTCCCCCCATCCCCTTCTCTGCTTTCCCCCATCCCCTTCCCTGCTTTCCCATCCCCTTCCCTGCTTTCCCCCAACCCCTTTCCTGCTTTCCCCCATCCCCTTCCCTGCTTTCCCCCATCCCCTTCCCTGCTTCTCCCCATCCCCTCCCCTGCTTCTCCCCAACCCCTCTCGTGCTTCCCCCCATCCTCTTCCCTGCTTCCCCCCATCCCCTTCCCTGTTTCCTACGATCACTCTCATTCTCCTTCCTCCCTCCCACACTCACTCTCTCAGTCCTCTCGCACTCTCTCTCTCCGTCCTCTCGCACTCGCACTCTCCTTCCCCTCACCCTCTGTCCTGTTCCCACCTGCCCTCCCCATCCCTGTCTTTCCCTCCCTGCCCTGCCCTTCCCTTCTCCATCACTTCTCAACCCTTCCATTCCTTTTCATGCCCTCCCCTTCCCCCTCACCTTCCGCCCTCTAGTTCCCACGCATGTGCACCCATCATTGTCTCCCCATACATGCTTCCTTCATGTGCCCTTTCTTGTGTTCCCCTGCAGTTGTTCCCTCGGCACCTCACACCACCTCCCCCATGTTCCTTCACACAATCCATTCTGCCTACTCCACTCCCCATTTTTTCAATGGTGAAGCAGACGAGCAAGTTGAGGTGCAGCTGGGGCTAGTCCATGCTTTACACCGTACCACCACCTGTTTCTTGTGTGTTGTATGCCAGCATGAACTGTATTACTGTAGGAGATATCCATCTCAAAGGCACAATATGTACTTTTGTTTCTACATTCTTCCAAGATGCATGGACACTACCACAAGAGTGTCAAAAGGGTAGATAGAGGCATGATCCTAATACTTTTGATTGTACCTTTCTCAAGGCCCTGAAAAAAACGTGAGGGGACCTGGTTTCTCTACGAGTGTGGCATGGGATGATGGGCTTCGGCGAGTTGTTGCGTCAGAAAAATCTTCAGTGTAGTCACTGCAATAGCCAGGTAGAGGGAGAGAATACGAAGGATCGGGAGGGGGAACAAGAATAATACCCAATCAGGGAAGATAGGGTAGAGGGGGAAGAGGGAAGCAGGGGGGGCTAGGAAGATGTGAGAGGGAAAGGGGATAAGAAGAGGGGGGGTGAGGGAAAGGAGGAGATAGGAAGAGGATGAGAGGGAAAGAAGGAAATATAGTAGGAAGAGGGAGGATAGGGAAGAGGGGAGATAGGAAGAGGGGGGGCGGGAAAGCGGGTAATAGGAGATGAAACGAAGGGAAGAAGAGAGGGAAACGAGGGGAAGCAGGGGGGGAAACGAGGATAAACAGAGGGGAAGCAAATGGCCAGGTGCGCCTGGCCGACATGGGCGACGGCGACGACGATGAGCAGCAGTAGGTGCCATGCCCTCTTGTATGGCTGGTGCGGTGACCGGCGTGCTGTGTGTTGGGTGCACGACGATGGGCTATTCTCCGAGTGGTACTGCCGTGGAGGCTGGGGGCCCAAGCGTGAACGCTGCAGGAGAGTGTCAACGGGAGTTGTGTTAGGCCCCGTCCTCGCTTGGGAGGAGCCGACCTCGTGGTCGGGTGTACGGGGGAGTGCAGCCGACTTGCAACAGAGGGCGAGCTGGTCGACGAGGTGGTCGACCTGTGCGGGGGCCACTGCACTGGCGCCGACTTCAGGGCGCCGACTTTGGGGTGGTCGACCTGACCTGGTGGTCGACGAAGGAGGGGCCGACGTCGACCTCGACAGGGGAGGCTCAGGACGCCGAGCAGTTGGGCGTCGAGTAGCAGGGCGTCGACTTGGGGAAGCCGACTTCGAGTAGCCGACTGGGTGTGGTCGGTTGACTTGTGCACTGGTCGACGTGGAGCTGGTTGACCAGAAGTGCTGTCGATCTGGAGCTGGTCAACCAGGGGAGAGGGCGACCTGGTGAGGTCGACTGGAGGTGGTCGTCGACCTGGGTGGTCGACGGGCACGTGAACCAGGTGCTGGTCGACCAGGCGTGGTTGCCCGGTCGACCGGGATACCCGGGCGACGGGCGCAAGGGTCGCCAGGGTGACTTCTTCGAGGCCGACCTCGGGGGTGGTATCTCGAGGTCGGCGTGGCTAATGGGCGTAGTCGCTGGCGTGGATTCGACCTAGGCGTCTGCGCTGTGCTCGTGACGAGGAGTGGCGTACCAACCAGCTGCGCACACCTTCGAAACAGATGCTTCGTTGTCCTGCGGGTGCAACGCTGTGCAGTTGGCTTGCTGCAGCGTTGGCTCACCGTGGACTTGCAACGTTGGCAAGCCGCGACTATGCTCTGCTGGAGCGTGGTCGACCAGGTCGTGCTGGTAGGCGTGTGTCAGCACCCGTCCGCAGTACCTGTCGAGGACCGTCCCTCCCTAGCCGAAGTGATCTCCGGTTTTACACGGTGGGACTCACGCCTGGGAGTGACTTTTTCAGCAGCTTTTTGCGTCAGGGGCCTGGGCTTGTCGCGAGGACGTCCGAGAGGCCGCCCTAGACCAGATCTTCCTCCCCATCCGTCTCGGGGGCTTCGGCATTTGTCGCATGGCGCGCATTGCCCCGGTGAGTTACGTGTGCTCTTGGGTGCAGCGTGCACCCATTCTCTGTTCGCTCCCTACATGTGGCGAGGTGTTTCGGCAGAGCTTCGCTTCAGGTGAGCCAGAGCAGATCGACCAGGCTCTGCAGACGGTGCTAGAGGGTCTCCCACCTGACGTTCTCTCTCTCCTCCCCTCCTGGCCCTCTTGCGCTTCTGCCTCCCCTGATTCCCTTTTTGCAGGAGCGAGCCACCTTCTGGAGGCGCATGCTTTGGAGGCAGTGCGTGCCCGTCACACCTCTCCCTTGCACCTTGCCCGTTTGACTTACCTTCAGGGCGGAGGCGCAGGAGCGTGGTTGCAGTCAGTGCCAAACGCCGATCCACTGCGCTTCCCGGAGGTGCAGTGGCAGGTGGCTTCATCATCTCGTCTTGGTCTCCCTATCCCCCAGTTAGCCGTTGCAGGTTAGTGCTCCTGTAGATAGGCGATCGACGACATGACGATGCCTCATCACGCGATTTGGTGCCCACGATTCGGTGTCGCCACGACCATCCACGACACGGTGAAGTTCATGCTTCGAGACTTCGCGGTCGAGGCGGGCTTCGGGGTGAAGGTGGAAGACTCTACGCTGTTTACACAGTTGGAGGCGGCTCGAGCAAGACTGCAAGGACAGCCAGTGGTGGGAGAGGGGACACGGCGTGAGGGACCGCTGGAGCAGAGGGGCGAGGCAGGACAGCCAGGTGACGGGGGGAAGTGGGGAGAGCATCAGCTGCGGGGTCGGGTGGCGTGAGGGATAGGTGGGCAGAGGGGACGGCAGGGGGAGCAGGCGGGCCAGGACGGGGAGGGGGAACAGCAGAGGCAGCAGCAAGAGAGCCAGCGGAGGCCGCGGGCCCAGGGCGCCGCGCCTCCGGGTTTGGGCTCAGGGATGGGGCAGGGGCGGGAGCAGCAGAGAGCGGACGGAGGTACAGGGGAGGCAGCGGGAACGGGAGGGGAGGACCAGGGAGTGAGAGAGGCAGCAGGGGATTGAGCAGGGGGGTTGGGAGGGTTGGGGGAGGGTAGAGAGGGGGAGGGGAGAGTACAGGTGGGTGGAGGAGACGACAGGGGGAGAGAGACGACCGGAGAGGAGGCACCGAGGGACTAGACAGGCCAGCAGCCAGCGCAGCAGCAGGGACCAGTCGAACGCACAGGCCGAGTAGGCACCTCCTCCCGCATCCCAGACCTCACCTGCCGCGACATCGGGAGTTCTGATGGGATCCGGCGTAGTAGCTGAGGTCTGATCGTACCACGTCAATCCCGTGCCGCGACCGGTACACACCCCTTGCCCGGGTCCCCCCTTCATAGTCACACCCCCTGCCCCTCATGCCATCCGCTCCCCCCGCCCCTAACCTCCGCGTGCCCGCTCCCTCGCCGCCTCTTTTGACCCTCCCTGCCCCCCTCGCCGTTTCCCACCTCCCGCAATTCGTTCCTCCCCCCCGTGCCCTCCCCTCGTTTACCTTCTCCTCCCCCCTCCCCTCCTCTGCCCCACGCTTCTTCCTTCCCCTCGCTAACCTACTCCGCTCCCTGCCCCTCCTTAATTTGCACCCTGCCCCTCGTCTTTCGTCCCCCTGCGCTTGCTTTCGCCCCTCCCTGCCCCTCGCTGCCTTTCTCCGCTCCCCTCCTCCCCCCTCTCCCCGGGCCCCCACTCTCGCCCCCTTGTCCTTGGCTTTCCACCTCCCTGCCCCAGGTTTCCCCCCTCCTTGTGCTCAGCGTCTCCCCTCCCTGCTTTCTCCCTCTTCCCCGCCCTGCCCCTCATTTTCCGCACCCCCACGCCCGGTTTCTCCCCTCCCTGCACCTCCCTATCTTTCCCCGTCCCTCTCCTTTGTTCCCTCCCTGCCCCTGGCCGCCCATGCCACTGTCCTTGGTTTCTCCCCTCCCTGCCTGACGTTTCTTCGCTCCCTGAGCTTACCTTGTACCCTCTCTGCCCTTCCTTTGTTTTCCCCGCACCCATCGCTTCTGCCCTCCCTCCCCTTGATTTCCCGCATCCCTGCCCTTGTTTCCTACCATCCATGCCCCTCGTTTCCCCCCTTTGTACGTTCAGCCTCTTCCCTCCCTGCCCCTCCCTTCCTCCCCCCCCGCCCTTTGCTTTTTCCTCGCTATGCTGCCTTCTCCCCCTCCCTGCTGCCCTCTTACCACCATCAGCCCGTCCCCACCCCCAGCCCCCCTCCCCACCGTCCCTCCCCCCCCCTCTCCCCCCCCTCCCCTCTCTCTCTCTCTCCCTCTCGCTCTCCCTCTCTCTCCCCCCCTCTCTCTCTTCCCATTCTGCCCCTCCTTGTCCCTGTTCCACCCCCTCGCATGCCCCTCACCTCCCACCTCCGTGCAACCGGTGACCCCCCTATGGTGCCTCCCTTGCATCGCTCGCCCCTCTGCTCACCCTCTGCCCGCCCCTTTTCCTTGCCCTCAGCTGGCCCAGCCCTTGCCCGTTGCTGCCCCTCCCCTTGCCCCCTCAACTCCCCTGCCCCCCGTACACCCCAGTCCCATCCAAACGCCCCCACTCTCCCCCGGCTGCCCGTTTTTGCTCTCCACCCTGGCGACCGTGTGTGGCTTCCAAACGCACGGGGCGTTTCTTCGCACGAGCGAGCCTCCACGGGGGGCCCCCACCCCGCGGAGTCATTGTTTGGGAAAAAAAGCGAGAATAAAAAAAATCGGACGCGCTAAAGTCATCCTTTCTTTTTCTCGCTTGCCCCTCCACGGCATGTGCCAAATAAGGGGCACAAATGGGTACAAAACGAGGACTTACCGGAAGGTCACCCAACCCAGTACTGCTCTCGCCCACCGGCGCTCTTACCTGGACCTAGTTCTTGAGGAGATAAACCCTACAACGGTGGGAGCTAGACTATGGGGTTGGCACGAGTTGTAGGAGTGATCGTAGCTCTGTCTGTGTTCTCTTGGACTTGTGTTTTCACAGGACAAAACAGCAAGAGTTTCACTAAGGAATGTTGAGAATACAGAGTTCAGAATGATTACAAGCAATGGCAAAGATGGACTACATCACATGCAAGGTTTGCTAGTGCTCAGGCAGGTCGATTGCCAGCGTGACAGAGCTGTCGACCTGCCAACGCAGCATCTCCACGGTCCGCCAACGCAGCTTGTGTGCGACTTGCCAACGCTGCAGAATGGCGGCCTGCCAACGCTGCATCCGCGCGGCTTGCCAACGCAGCATCCGCGCGGCTTGCCAACATTGCATCCGCAGGTGACTGTAAGCGCATGTGCAAGCACCTACTTCGCAGGTGCTTGTAGACCTTTATGCACGACGTGCACTGTCAAGTACATTGCGCAGGTTGTCAGCCACATGCTGACGGTTGCACATGATGAGCCACGTCGACCATGTGCTGCCACGTCGGTCGACTTCGCCACAACAGTCTCGACGACGTTCGCACACCTTCGCACACTCGTCGAGCAGGTAACTTGGTCAACCAGATGAAGTCCCTGACATCTCTGCAGGATGATGACCTTCGTCATCACCGGTTGACGACCTTTGTCATCGCGGGTTGACGACCTTCGTCGTCGCTGCTCGACGACCTTCGTCGAGCACCTTCGTTGAGCACCTCGGTTGACATTTCAAAATGTCAGCTCCTGATTGGTCGAAATTAGGGCACATTTGAATTTCTGGCCAAAATTCGCCTGTGCAGTTTCAAGGTTGCGCAGGGTCAGACGCGACCCTGCGCAGACGAACACCCGCGAACTTCTGCACGAGCTGCGCAACTTGTACATGCGCACGGGAAGCCTGCTTTGCACTCGCAGATGCTTCAGTTACTCTTGCATGGATTCCCTAGTACACCTCGTGTACAGGCAACCCTCGAACACCTGTAGAAGGTCGGCTGCACCTCCCGCACACCCGACCACAAAGTCCGTTTTGCCCATGCGAGGGCGGGGCCAATTTCCTTCAACAGTTCTTACCTACTAAGCTAGCCTCATAAGGAGGCTCCAAAGCCTACTATTTCGAGTTGCCTAAGGACAAGGCGACTGTGATAGTAGTTTCTAGTAGTGTTATAAGGACTTTTATCGGTTCAATTTTTACTTTACGACGGTCGAGTTCGACGGGACGGGGGTCGTGCTACAGCTGGAGTATCGTGAGGTTGTGCGTCGACGCGAATTTCGCCCGCGGAGGTAATAGCTTGCGCGGATCACTTCTCCAACTCCGCCAGACACGGTGTTCCCGCCCATCCCCTCTCTCGACACCCGCTCCTATCCCCCCGCTCTGCATTTCCGTTCGAAGTGATTACTAGCTATTCCTCCCACGACTTTTCTCTTTCTAAATGGCTGAACGTAGCCTCCGCTCGTAGTTAGCATTCACGATCTACACCGTCGATACGTACACTTCCTGTTTCGTGCGCCCTTCTTAATCGAAACCCTAATCTGAAGAGCTGCGCGTTTCTTGCACGCTTTCTCATCGCCTGTCGTCCTTCCTTAGTCGTGCACTCATTTTCCCGCCCCTTTGATATAGCCGCGACCTAACCCTCATCGCGCACGGGGTGTTTATCGCCACGGAACGGCAGTGCGGAGGGAGGCGAAATTGCTACGTTCGTAGCGATTAAGCGGCCCTCCACTTCCGCCAGTTGCGCTTTGACATTTCCGCCTCCCGTAGCGCATTTTCTGCTTAGCGCGTTTTAGATGTCCACGCTTTGCACACAAGCCGCCCCACTCCCTCTTTACTCGCGACCTCCCTGCCAGGCCTCGTCGCACGCTCGCGTATGCCATTCTTCCTTGTCTTACTCTTACCCGCCGTCACCCACATAATCACTTCCTTGCTCACACCGCCCCTTCCCCCCTTTGCACGCGCGCTTCAGTCACCCTGCCACCTGACCTCTATCTTTCCCTTACGGCGCTTAGCTAGAGCGAGCTCTGGAACCGTAGGAAAAAACAGAAAATAGAACTTCAAGAAAAGAGGAAAAAAATAATCATAAGACAAAACAGGAACAAAGAAAACAAAACCAGAAAGCCAGCTTACACTTTCTTCTCCCCTTCCCCCCAGGACCTCATCCAGTCTGCCATCCCCCCTTTCTATTTCGACACACTGCACCACACCCTTCCCTTTTGTCCACCACCATTACCGCCCCTTCCCCCCACTTCCTCAGCAGGCTTTTCTCCCTCTAGCCCCCTATCTCCCTGCCCCCAGTACCTCCGTGCACTATCTTTTACCACCTTTGGTCCCACTCCGTACCACCTCCCCTCTGCCCTCCCAGGTGTCAGAAGTATAGGCAGGAATGAATCAACTATGGAAGAGTTGGGTACAAATATCAAACCCTAGAAGGGGTTGTACCCCATATTGGCTACCCCACTACAGCCTAAACATATGTAGCATACATAATCTGACACCAGGTCCTCCCTATCACCACCCACATGTTCCGCCAGTTCCCTGCCCACAACATACCTCCCCCACCCCCCCCTCCCGCAGTCTCCACTTCCAGATTGCCCTCTACACCTCTACGAGCCGTACTATCCCCTCCAGCCTCCCTTTCCCCCTCAGCGCCTCCCGTATCCAGCGTGGGCTGCACGTCTGCTTTCCGTCCTACCAGGCCCTTTGGTGACCGACCTGCCGTCACCCATCTCCACACTGCTTTTTCCAACCCCAGCAGCACTCTACACCCCTTGTCCCTGCTCCCTGTGCTGCCCAGCCCCCTTCCACGTCCTCCCTCTGCCATTTCCTGGCACCAGCCCGCCCTTCCCTTCTCCAGCCGCACTCTACACCTCCTGCCCCTGCTCCCAGTGCCGTCCAGCTCCCCTCCCCAACCCCCCTCCGCCATCTCTTTGGCCAGTTCCATCGGCACTCCCTCCTCCCTGGGGTCCACCCCTCCGCACTTATCACCCATCACGATCTCCCTGTCCCCCCCTGCCCCTTGCGTTCCAGCCCCCCATTCTCTTGGCCATCGTCCACAGCTCCTCTTTCCGTTGCCCCCTCTGCCCTCCCATGCTCACACTTCTCGCCCCTCATCCGTTCCAATACCCATTGCCGGGCCTACGCCAGCCCTGCCACCCGTCCCCTCACCAACTACCCTATCTCCCTCCCTCCCTGCCACCCCATCCCCTCTGCCCCCCCTGCCTCACTCGTCCGTCCACACTACCCCTCGAACTCTATTCCCCCCTTCCCTCTTCAGCCCTAGCACCCTCCCCCACACCCCGCTCTCCCCCCGCCCCATTACCCCCTCTCCCCCACCCTCCCTGCTACCAGCTACAACTACCACTACCTCTGGTCTCTCACCCCCTCCAACAGGCAGCCCCCTCCTACCCTCCTTCCAGTCCACTCCCCAACCCCCTCCACCCCACCCCACTGCCCCCCTCCCAGAGACACCGATACCCCCCGTTCCTTTAACCTCTCTTTACAATCTTCCTCCGACACCCTGCCTCCCTTCAGGGCACTACCAGCCGGTACCCAAGCCGTCACTAACCCTTTCTCTCTTCTTTCTGCCCACGGCTACCCTCTAGGTACTTTGTTTTTTCACAGCTCCTCTCACCCTGCCCCTCCAACTCTCCCACCCCCTCTCTCCCGGTTTTTGCAGTCCCTGAAACAGCACCCTAAACTCATCCCCTTCTCCCCCCTTTTTCCCCCATGTCCAGTGCCCACCCCTCACGCACAACCCTCCCTTTCCTCCCACACCCCATATACCCCCCAAACCCAATCTCTTCATACCCCTCCCTGCAATGCCCATGCAGCCACCATAGTCATTCATGCCACGCCGTCCCCCCAGGGGAGAGGAGGCTGAGCCCGGATCAGCCCGTCGTTCGGGCAGGACCTTGGGCCGCCCTACCCCCTACCCCCCCCCTTTATCTGCTAAGAAAATCCCGGTGACCAGTGACCAGGCAGTCACCGGCGACACAAACACTGACGCGCGGGGTAAAAAACGCGCGCTAGAAGAGACAAGAACACAACCACACCCACCCGCGCATAACGTGGAACGAGAAGGGGCTCACCCACGCTCTAAGACGCGCCACAATCCACCTCTCCCCCCACAGTCCCCCTATACAGGATGCGTCAACGGTGCAGCACAGAAGGATGCGGAGCTGTTTTCCACCGCACCCACCCGCACCCATACCCGAAAAACCACGTCACACAACGAAACGCAAGTACCGAACCCCATCCAAGGGAACACAACAGGCCCCACCCCCACGGGGGAGTTGAAAGGGAGAGCAAGGCAGGCCCCAAACATGACCAAGAGAGGAGAGGAGGGGAAAGGGAAAGCCAGGGCACCGGACCTGGACGTGCATGAGAGTAACGCTGAGCGTGAGGCCGAGGCTGGCGGCTCTGTTGTAGGAAAAGGGACAGGGGCTGCGGGTGTGACGGCAAGGGATGCCAGGGGGGCAGCAAGGGATGTCGTGGGGACGGCAAGGGTTACAGTGGGTATAGCAAAGATACGGGGGGGATAGTAGAGGCTCCTGGAAAGGTGCTAGGGGTGGTGACTCTAGCCACGGAAAGGGTAGAGGCAGAGGCCAGGGAATCAGTTTTTGCAGGAGAGGGAGTCGCAGGAAGCGCAGCTGAGTTGGTTACGGGGACCGCAAAAGGTGAGGCAGCACAGTTCGCATCAGGTGAGGCTGCAGGGCCCGCAGACGGTGAGGATGCAGGGCCCGAAGATGGTGAGGCTGCAGGGACGGCAGCAGGCGAGACTGCAGTGACCGCATCATGTGAGGCTGTAGGGACTGCAGCGGGGGAGGCTGCAGAGACCACAGCGGGCGAGACTTGAGGGACCGCAGCAGGGGAGGCTATACGGACCGCAGCAGGTGAGGCTGCACAGTCCACAGCAGGTGAGGCTGCAGAGACTACAGTAGGTGAGGCCGCCGGTTGTCAGCGTCTTTGCACCCTCGTCGACGAGCTTGCCATCACGTCGGCCATTGGCGATGCCACTGGTCGGTGCCTCAGGAAACATCCGCAGGCTCCCCTCGTCGCCGGTGGCCGACGAAGGTGTCAGCTCAGGCAAGTCGGCGACAAGAGGTGGTGCAGCAGGGACACGAGGAGGAGGAGAAGGATGGACATCCTCGGCGTCCTCATCAGCGGCCTTGTCGACCTCGGCGAGCAGTGGGAACGTCGTCGTCGAGGAGTCTGTCGGACAGTGGGCCTGCGCCCGTGCCGATGCTTGCCCATGCGTCACCTTCCACACCTCCAGGGACATCGTTTCGTAGAAGATGGCCTCAACCGTCGTGACCAGCTTGTTGTCTGTCAAGTCGATAACTTCCCATCCCTTGCTCTCTGGCGACACACCGAGGTGTAGCCCCCAACGAGCCTCGTCGCCGGGGCACGGAGAGGGAGAGAGAGAGAGAGAGAGGGGAGGGGGGGGGGAGAGGGGGGGGAGGGACGGTGAGGAGGGGGGCTGGGGGTGGGGATGGGCTGATGGTGGTAAGAGGGCAGCAGGGAGAAGGAGAAGGCAACGTAACAGGGAAAAAGCAAAGGGCGGGGGGGGGGGGGGGGGGGGGGGGGAGGGGAGGAAGGGAGGGGCAGGGAGGGAAGAGGCTGAACGTACAAAGGGGGGAAACGAGGGGCATGGATGGTAGGAAACAAGGGCAGGGGTGCGTGAAATCAAGGGGAGGGAGGGGAGAAGCGATGGGTGCAGGGAAAGCAAAGGAGGGGCAAAGAGGGTACAAGGTAAGCTCAGGGAGGGAAGAAACGTCGGGCAGGGAAGGGAGAAACCAAGGACAGGGGCATAGGCGGCCAGGGGCAGGGAGGGAACAAAGGAGAGGGACGGGGAAAGATAGGGAGGTGCAGGGAGGGGAGAAACCCAGCGTGGGGGGGAGGAAAATGAGGGGCAGGGCGAGGAGGGGAGAAGCTGAGCACAAGGAGGGGGGAAACGTGGGGCAGGGAGGTGGGAAGCCAAGGACAAGGGGGCGAGAGTGGGGGGCCGGGGAGAGGGGGGAGGAGGGGAGCGGAGAAGGGCAGCGAGGGGCAAGGAGGGAAGAAAGCAAGCGCAGGGGGACGAAAAACGAGGGGTAGGGTGCGAATTGAGGAGGGGCAGGGAGCGGAGTAGGTTAGCGAGGGGAAGGAAGAAGCGTGGGGCAGAGGAGGGGAGGGGGGAGGAGAAGGTAAACGAGGGGAGGGCATGGGCGGGGAGGAACGAATGGCGGGCGGTAGGAAGCGGCGAGGGGGGCACGGAGGGTCAAAAGAGGCGGCGAGGGAGCGGGCACGCGGAGGTTAGGGGCGGGGGGAGCGGATGGCATGAGGGGCAGAGGGTGTGACTATGAAGGGGGGACCCGGGCAAGGGGTGTGTACCGGTCGGGGCAAGGGATTGACGTGGTACAATCATACCTCGGCTACTACGCCTGATCCCATCAAAACTCCGAAGCTAAGTATATATATAGATATATTTATTGTTGGTAAGGAATATGGAAAATAAAGAAGACAAAAGGAATAAGGAATGATAAGAAATAATAGGGAAAAGAAGAGAGTGGTAGGAAGAGAATAGAAGGATAGAAAAATGGCAAAGAAAGAGGGAGGTGGGAAGAGAAGAGGAGAGAGGGAAAGAGACTAAGTAGGAGGAAGTACCTAGGGTCCAAACACGACAGCAACCAGCACGAAATCGCAGGCACAGCGTTTCAAGCACAGCCACCATTGTTTTTTTTAACAAATGCAGTATATATATATTGCATGTCGGCTACACTCTCGAAGCAACCTGTGATGTGGTGCCAGGTACCCTGCCCCGCACTCAGTGGGACTGGTGCGGGCATCCACGTGTCGTCGGATCCCCCCAACTGCCGCACCGCATGCTGGATGATGCATTGAGCCTGCGCGCACTGCAGTGCCACGGAGAGGTGTACTGAGTCCTGCGTCAAGTATCCGTGCCGATCCGTCTTCCTCCCCTCCCCTATCCCTCCTCCGCTGTGCTATCCTCTTTGCGAAGAGCCCCAAAAACTGACGCAGCGGCTCGCTCAGAAGGCCAAATGTCTCAGCCACGCACGCGTTGAAAGTGTGGTGCCGGCTGCAACTCCTCTAAGTGCGGCCCCCAGTGACGCAGCTTCTCCTGCACCCGCCTAGCTGCTGCCACTCCAATCTGTGTGGGGGTCGCCCGTCTCAGCTTCACGTTCCCCTCCCGCTGTGAATCCACTATGGAGACATTTACAAGAACCATCAAACTTTGCCTGACGTCGCGGCAGGTGAGGTATGTCATGCGGGAGGAGGTGCCTACACGGCCTGTGCGTCCGACTGGTCCCTGCTGCTGCGCTGACTGCTGCCCTGTCTGGTTCCTCGGTACCTCCTCTCCGATCGTCTCTCTCCCCCTGTCCTCTCCTCCACCCACCTGTCCTCTCCCCTCTCTACCCTCCTCCAACCCTCCCAACCCCCCTGCTCGATCCCTTGCTGCCTCTCTCACTCCCTGGTCCTCCCCTCACGATCCCGCTTCCCCCCCTGTACCTCCGTCCGCTCTATGCTGCTCCCGCCCTTACCCCACCCCCGAGCCCAAACCCGGAGGCGCGGCGCCCTGGGCCCGCGGCCTCCGCTAGCTGTCCTGCTGCTGCCTCTGCTGTTCCCCCGACCCGTCCTGGCCCGTCTGCTCCCCCTGTCGTCCCCTCTGCCCACCTGTCCCTCGCGCCACCCGACCCCGCAGCTGATGCTGTCCCCATTGCACCCCGTCACCCGGCTGTTCTGTCAAACTTATATGCTATAGTCTATCTAGGCTGTAGTGGGGTAGACACTAAGGGGTATGGTTTCCTAGGGTTTCATACTTGTACCCTTCACATTCCTTAGTCAATCATTCCTCATTCTTCACATGGTATAGAGTGGGTTCCCTAGTGGGACCGTTTCTTCCAAGGGCCCACCTTTGATTTTTTTTTTTTTAGCCTGCCCTAAACGCGCTTCGCGTCCTGCCCGGAAAACTTCGCGGCCCCTTAGTGGCCTGCCCCTTAACGGCCCCTTAGTGGCCCCTTCGCGGCCCCCTTAGCGGCCCCTTTGCGGCCCCCTTAGCGGCCCCTTAGCGGCCCCTTCGCTGCCCCGTAGTGGCCCCCTCTCGCGGCCCCTTCGCTGCCCCTTAGAGGCCCCCCTTCGCGGCCCCTTCGCGGCCCCTTCGCGGCCCCTTCGCGGCCCCTTTAGCGGCGCCTTCGCTGCCCCTTAGTGACCCCTTAGCGGCCCCTTCGCGGCCCCTTCGCGGCCCCTTCGCGGCCCCGCCCCATTGCCCGTACTGCTGTTACTGCTGCTCCTGTTGTTACTGCTCTTTCTACTGCTACTGCTGCTACTGCTGCTACTGCTGCTACTGCTGCTCGTGCTGCTCCTACTGCTACTGCGCTTTCTACTGCTACTGCTGCTCCTGGCGTGGCCAGATGCAGCTCCAGCGCCGTCCGCGTGAGTCCCTCACGCCCCAACAGCTTCGTGAGTGGTACGCTCGTTGGGGTTGTTGGGGTGGCCGTAGTGGGAGTCGTCCTGGAGTGAGTAGTCCCGGAGCTTATTGTAGTGGCCAGGTGCAGCTGCAGCATCGTCTGCGCGAGGTCCCTTCGCCCCCGCAGCTTCGTGAGTGGTACGCTCAGCGTGGAGGGTCACGGGGTTCTGCTCGCTGCCCGTACGTCGTTCGCACTGGTGCTAGGACTGGCCAGACTTGCGGGACGTTTGGTCACACAGAGTCCCGCTGCTTCGCCCGTCTGAGCGACGCCTGGCGTACAGAGTTTGGCGACACGGCTGAGCTCCCCGACTGGGTGGAGCTGCTTAGGCAGAGGGTAGATGTCTATGCTCTTGACTATGATGCTATCCTCACTGCCATGTATGCATTGCCTACTAGTGCTGAGGGTGCCTGTTACCTGTGTGTGCCGCCTGACCCCGGTCTCCAGTCTGCTGCTCTCGGTACTGGTGAGGCTGCTGCTCTAGGTGCTGGTACGTCTCCTGCTCCAGGTGCTGGTGAGGCTGCTGCTCTAGGTGCTCGTGAGTCTATTGCTCCAGGTGCTGGTGAGTCTGCTCTCTCTGGTGCTGCGCCTGCTGCGGTCTTGCACACCTTCACCCTTGACTCGGGTGCTTCCCGCTCCTTCTTTCGAAACCGCACCACACTCACGCCGCTTAGTCGGCCGGTTGCGGTCTCCCTGGCAGACCCCTCTGGGGGTCCTGTCCTTGCTCACTTCTCCACTGTGCTACCGTGTCCAGCGGCCCCATCTGGCTCCCTGTCAGGTCTTTACCTCCCCTCGTTCTCTACGAACTTGGTGAGTGGTGCTGACCTGCAGGATGGAGGAGTTGACCAGTTCACTCCTGCGAGTCAGCGGGTGACCCACTGCACGTGTGCTCGGACGGGCCGACACTTGGCCACGTTTACCCGTCAGCCGGGGTCGAGCCTGTACACACTGACTACTGAGTCTCCTCCGATTACTGCGTCTGGTCAGGTAGCTGCGTCGGGTCAGGTGTTTGCTGCAGCGTCCAGGTCTGGTCCTGAATCTGCCCCCTGCTCGTGTCGCCTCCTGTCTCACCAGACCCTCCTCTGGCACCACCGCCTTGGTCACCCCTCCCTGCCTCGTCTCCGAGGCATGGCCTCCCGTTACCTTGTCTCTGGTCTCCCCCGGTCCCTCCCTCCCCTTCCTCCGGGGCCTGCCCCTACCTGTGTTCCCTGTGTCGAGGGGCGGCAGCGCGCCGCTCCTCACTCCTCCGAGTTTCCGCCGACAGAGGCTCCGCTGCAGACTCTTCACATGGACGTGTGGGGCCCAGCCCGCGTCCGTGGACAGGGTCACGAGTGTTACTTCCTCTTGGTGGTTGACGACTACTCGCGTTACACCACAGTCTTCCCCTTGCGCACCAAGGGTGAGGTCACTAGGGTGTTGATCGACTGGATCCGCGCTGCTCGTCTCCAGCCCAGAGAGAGTTTCGGCTCGGACTTTCCTGTTCTGCGTCTGCACTCCGACAGAGGTGGAGAGTTTTCCTCTGACCTTCTGCGAGCCTTCTGCCGTGCGAGGGACATCTGCCAGACGTTCACGCTTCCGGCATCTCCACAACAAAATGGGATTGCTAAGCGCCACATTGGCATAGTCATGGACGTCGCTCGTACGTCCATGATCCATGCGGCTGCTCCCCATTTTCTGTGGCCGTTCGCGGTTCAGTACGCGGCGCAGCAGATCAACCTTCAGCCCCGTGTCTCCTTGCCGGAGACCTCCCCCACCCTGCGGTGGACGGGGAAGGTTGGCGATGCGTCTGCGTTCCGTGTCTGGGGATCTCGGGCTTTCGTCCGAGACTTGTCTGCGGACAAGCTGTCCTCCCGTGCTGTTCCCTGCGTCTTCCTTAGCTTCCCCCCTGACGCGCCTGGTTGGCAGTTTTACCACCCCACCTCGCGCCGTGTTCTGTCCTCCCAGGACGTCACGTTTGACGAGTCAGTTCCCTACTACCGTCTCTTCCCCTACCGCGCTGCCCCCCTCCGCCCCCCGCCACTCTTCCTCGCGCCAGGTCCCTCCCCGGTCGACCCCCTTCCCCCTCAGGGTCCTGCCCCCTCAGGTGTGTCCCAGGTCGACGCAGTCGAGCTTGTCGAGGTAGTTGTTGACTCTGGTGCTGCTAGGGGTGCTGAGCCTGCGGGTGCCAGGTCTGGGGGTGCTGAGCCTGAGCGTGCGGAGCCTGGGGGTGCTGGGTCTGAGGGTGCTGAGCTTGGGGGTGCTGAGTCTGGCGGTGCTGAGCCTGGGGTTGCTGGGTCTGGGGGTGCCGGGCCTGGAGGTGCTGGGCCTGCTCGTGTGGAGCCTGGTGGTCCTGGGCCTGGAGGTCCTTCGGTTGCTGTGTCCCGGCGGGAGCTCCCCTCTCCCCGGGAGCTGCGTGAGTGGTTTGCTCGACGCTGGAGCCGTGCTGCTGGAGCTGGTGGTGCTACCGGTGCTGGAGGTTCTGCGGCTACTGGAGGTTCTGGAGCCACGGGTCCCGGAGGTGCTCGTACCGGTGGTACTGGAGCTGCTGGGCCTGGTGGTGCTACTGGTGCTGGAGCTGGAGGTGCTGCTGGCGTAGGTGCTGCTGGAGGTGCTGCTGGAGCTGGAGCTGCTGGAGGTGTTGGCGCTGGAGGTGCTGCTGGAGCTAGTTCTTCTGCGGGTGCTGGAGTTGGCGCTGCTGAGGGTGCAGCTGGAGCTGGTGGAGCTGCTGGCGCTGGTGCTGACGCTGGGGTGCTGGTGCTG